GTGTGTGTGTGTGTGTGTGTGAGTGTGTGTGTGTGAGTGTGTGAGTGTGTGAGAGTGTGTGTGTGTGTGTGATTGTGTGTGAGTGTGTGTGTGAGTGTATGTGAGTGTGTGTGTGAGTGTGTGAGAGTGTGTGTGTGTGAGTGTGTGTGAGTGTGTGTGAGAGTGTGAGTTTGTGTGAGTGTGAGTTTGTGTGAGTGTGTGTGAGTGTGAGAGTGTGTGTGAGTGTGAGAGTGAGTGTGAGTGTGTGTGTGTGTGTGTGAGAGAGTGTGTATGAGTGTGTGAGTGTGTGTGAGTGTATGTGAGTGTGTGAGTGTGATTGTGTGAGCGTGTGAGTGTGAGTGTGTGAGTGAGTGTGAGAGTGAGTGTGTGTGTGAGTGAGCGTGTGAGTGAGTGTATGTGAGTGTGTGTGTGTGAGTGTGAGTGAGTGTGTGAGAGTGTGAGAGTGTGTGTGTTGTGAGTGTGTGTAAGTGTGTGTAAGTGTGTGAGTGAGAGTGTGTGAGTGTGTGTGTGTGTCAAGTCACCTTTATTTATATAGCGCTTTTAACAATACAGATTGTGTCAAAGCAACTGTACAGCATTAATTAGGAAAATAGTGTATCATTAATGCAAAATGATAATAGTAGACACTCAATGTTCAGTTAAAGGCAGTTCATGGGCTTTAGAGAGTGTTCTAGGTTATTATATGCAGAGTTTTTAGGTCCTATAATTAACACCTCTGTTTTTTCAGAATTTAGCAGTAAGAAATTACTCGTCATCCAGTTTTTTTCGACTATGCATTTTGTTAGTTTTTCAAATTGGTATGTTTTGCCGGGCCGCGATGAATATAGAGCTGAGTATCATCAGCATAACAGTGAAACCTAACACCTTGTTTCCTGATGATATCTCCCAAGGGTAACATGTAAAGCGTGAAGAGTAATGGCCCTAGTACTGAGCCTTGAGGTACTCCATACTGCACTTGTGATCGATATGATACCTCTTCATTCACTGCTACGAATTGATGGCGGTCAAAGTTTTCTAGTCTATGCAAAAGGATGTTGTGGTCAATAGTGTCAAACGCAGTGCTAAGATCCAATAGCACTAATAGAGAGATACAACCACAATCAGATGATAAGAGCAGGTAATTTGTAACTCTAATGAGAGCAGTCTCAGTACTATGATACGGTCTAAATCCTGACTGGAAATCCTCACAGATACCATTTTTCTCTAAGAAGGAATATAATTGTGAGGATACTACCTTTAGTATCTTGGACAGAAAAGGGAGATTCGAGAGATCGGTCTGTAATTAACTAGTTCTTTGGGGTCAAGTTGTGGTTTTTTGATGAGAGGCTTAATAACAGACAGTTTGAAGGTTTTGGGGACATATCCTAATGACAATGATGAATTAATAATAGCCAGAAGAGGATCTGTGACTTCTGGAAGCACCTCATTGCTGTTTTCTGCCGCAGGTGTGTGTTCAGATGCCATGTGTCAGAGCAGTGCTAACGCAGTCTTCACTCAGATGAGCGTGTGTTTACACGGCCTTCACGACGCTGCCACAGGTGAGACGCCGCGGATCCAGAGCGTGTGTGACGCACATCACTGTCAGAGTCAGGGCTCTTAATGCTGCACTCACTGCAAAACATGAAAATTCTCCAAATGTATATTTGTTTTCCAGTGCAAATATCTGAACAGCCTTAAATCAAGATACATTTACTGGAGATGCAGAATGAAGAAATTAAGTCTGAGCAATTGAACAAAACGAAGTGAGTTTATGCTTAAAACAAGAACAAACATCTGACAATGAAAACTTGTTTTCTCTTTCAATTAAGTTACTGTTTTAATCATAAACTTACTTCATTTTGTTTAGTTTCTCATAAAACGGGACTTCTTACCTAATCTAATTGATATAAGAATCGTTAGACATTTGCCCTGTAAAACAAATCAAAAATACTGATGAAGAACAGTTTTTTTGCAGTGTGATCAGAAGCTTCAGTAACCGTTATTTCCATATTCTATGTAAAGATACTTTTATGTAAAATGAAGAAGTATAGAGATCTGTAGAAGGTTATGATTTTAAAGTGTTGCTAATAAAACTCAGTGTTTGTCAAGACCACCGGGTCGCGACCCAGTACCGTTCTGGGAAAAATGTGTACAGATATGACACACTGTTATTTATTGTGCATTAATGATTGTTCTAATTATTATGCATTTCCGTTGTATGCGATTGATATGGAGTAGCAATTTGACGATTTCATGTTAAATTAGTAAATGAAAGATTGCTCGGATCTGTCATATATTAAGGGTTAAACGGGATGATTCCTCTTTCACGTCTCCCTGCGTTTAAGATACATACACAAAGTTATGTCAAAAAAACCTTCACGGCATTCTCATTCTCTGTGCTTTAAATATTTTTTTTGCTTATCCGAAAAATCATCATCTGTGACTCAAAAACCACAATATGATCCATTG